ATGCCCTGTGCTTTCCATTTTGAGAAAGCCACGCCAGTTTAACCCACGCCCAGTTAAACCATTCATTCTGGCAGGTTGTACAATTTGACAGTAATGACCAGTTATTAGCTAAAAGCTTAGTTAGTTCCCTCCCTCACATTTGTACCAAAGAGTTTGCTGTTTGTGGCTGTGACCAATTCCACTTGCACTTTTGTGATTGATTGTAAAATCAGCAGTAGATGGCCTACTTGCCCTAGAAAATTAAATCTTAAAAATGAATAGAACATACTGGTTCTCCACTGTGCTTTCTAATTTAGGCAAAAAGCGAATTAAAAAAAATATAAATATTATTTCTGTGAATTTTCAGCATCTGTATAAAATATCTGTTCTAGTCATACTCCTGTTTTTCACCAGCAGTAAAAGCTCTGCAGCTGTTTCTTGACCCATTTGTGGTTAAGCACCAAAGAACTGACTTGGCTCAGTATTCAGTGTTAGTCCTCAATAGTAAGCGTGCTTAACACACATATGCGCAGACTTGGTGCATAAAAAGTCTATTTTTAACTCCCTGAGCAGTCTTCAGTTGAAGACTTTGGTTAAGTCCAGTGGGATATAAAGTATATCTGCACATTTCTAACATGTCGGTTTGGTTTCCTTGTAGGTGTTGCTTGACAATGGCAAGATTTCTGGTGTTTGCGCTGCTGACTCTGTCGTCCTTCTCTTCTCCCACGCGAGCCGAAATCTTCACGTCAATTGGTACAATTCCTCTTAGTTGCATGAAAATCATCCGGTGTTTAAATTCTGATTAAATTACATGCAGAAAGTGATCAAAGAACACACCCTTTATATGGGACCGGCTGGCTTTGCCGAAGGCTTCTAAAACTTGAATAAATGTGCCTTTTTGGTCATTTTTTCATGCTAAAATTTTGCCTTCTCTTTTCATAGGCCAAATGACAGACCTGATTTTTACAGAGAGGGAGCTTGTCCAGTCCCTGAAAGAATACATTGACGCAGAAGAGATGAAACTTGAAGCTGTGAAGAGGTGGATCTTGCACGATGATGCTTTTTTGATATATGACTACACATGAACCCGTGACTCATTTGTGTGTTTCTGTCCATCTGCTGGCTTCAGCTGGGCTAATAAACTGGATATGTTGACCCGTGCATCCACGTCGGACCCTGAAGGCTTCCTGGCTCACCCGGTGAACGCCTACAAGCTGATGAAGAGACTCAACACCGAGTGGTCCGAATTA